TTGGTCAGTTACTAAGACTTGCACATTTCCTTATATGTAAGTGAGACTCGATTTGTAAACATGCAGTAGTTCTTGTCTACATCTAATTCTTCCCATATTGAATAACTCTAGCATGAAACTCAAATTAATTGTGGTTTAAGTTGATTTGATCTGAACTGTTAAATATTGTTGCTCCATCTATTGAAGTGGCTGCTTTGAATTTATTAGTATCTTTCACTGTGTGCTTGCAGTGGTTTCTTTTATCACTGTCAGTAATATATCATTACCTTAGTTGTATGAGACTATCAATTGAACTCTGTTCAGCCATTGTTGTGCAATGAAGATCTTGGGGCTCTGTGGAGATTTTGATAAAATATCTTTTTGAATGTTTCTGCCATGGTGGCACCCCTTTGTTCTTCTATATAATATATTCTTTTTCTCTTAATAAAATGTTTCTCTTTTGTGCAAGCATCAAGTTTTTCGTTTAAAGAAACAAAAAAAAAAAAATTCAATTGTGAAAATGATATTTAAAATTTTTGTTTTAATGAAATAACCATACTTCTTTCCTGAAAAAAAGAAGGAAAAGGAAGATGAATAACATTAATAGGGCACCAAGGAGTGCGCCCATATGCAAAAGAAATTAAAAAGAAGCCAAAGTAAGAGATTAGTGAGGTCAAGATAATCATACTCCATGTTAACCTTTTACAAATACAAAAGTTATGAAATCAACTGTCCTGGGTTCTAGAAAATGGGAATGAGGAATCTTCAAATCCTCATTTCTTTCTTCTTTTCATACTGTTAGAATATTATAAAATATTTCTTATACATAATAGTATGATTATCTTTCCAAATATGTAAGCATAATTAGAAATAAAATAATTAGGATAATTTATATTAGTTACCATATATGAATCCGCTTACATGTGTATATGTTTCGACTTTCATTTTCAATAAAGATATAAAAATTATTCAATATTTTTTTTTTAACCCTTTACATGGTATCAGAGTTAAGGTTAGAGTTAGGGTTTTAGGGGTCAAATTACATAAGACCAAAAGAATGATTGAACAAGCCATTCCTGGCGTCGGAGAAAGACAACCACCGATCTTCGGCTAGTTCAGAGTGCAGCTAGCATAGTGGTGTACGCGGGAGAAGTAGAGGAAGCGGTTCGCGTAGCGGTCTGAGGCTGCATGCGGTAGGATGGGTAGAGGGGAGTTCCGAATTAGGGCTGACATTGGAGTTCTGTGGTGATTTTCGGCCGAAAGGAGGTTGTTTGGTGGTTTAGACGGTGGTGCGTGTAACATTGGCGCGCGTGTGGCTTTCCGGCGGTAGCACGTGCGGCAGTGCAGATCTTCCGGTGGTTGACAATGAGGTTCTAGTAGGGTTGTTGATACTCGTGCGTGAAGAGGTACTCTGTTTTGTTAAATTTTCTGGTATATTTGTATTGTTTTCTGGGTATCCTATTGCGTTTTGGGTATTTTGAGTGGCATTTTTTCTATAATTCCTGAATTGAAATGGATGATAATATTATCTGTTATTACTGCCGTGAACAAGAGTATATGAAGCGGTACTGTAAGAAATTTCAAAATCGCAATTGGAGGACACAGACCGCTAATAATATTGCTGCTACTAATAGCTTATTTTCTGTAAGTAAGTTTACTAAAGATTTGAATTGTTGTATTGCGTTTTTTCCTGATCACTATGTTCTTGAAGATCTTATGACGAAGCAGATTATTGGTAAAGGAAATATATAAGATATTATTTACATTCTTGATACTTGGATATCTCAATCAGTTGCCTGCTCTAGTATTATCTCTCCATTTGAAACACATTGTCAATTGGGATATCCATCTCTACTTGTGTTGAATAAGTTATGTCGTCAGTTTCATGATGTATCCTCATTAGATTGTGAATCATCTCGGTTTATAAGATATCGTCGTCGTCAATCAGGTCCAAGAGTCAATAGACAAGCTCAATCTGTTTTTGAGTTCGTTCATTTTGATGTTTGGGCCTCATGCTCTATTCTGTCCAAAACTGAGTTCAAGTA